AGATTATGTGCGGAAGTAGGAATTACAGGCATGGAAAGTGGGCACAGGATAATCATCACAGGTTACAAGTCATGCGGGCTGAGGGGGGAGGGGCAGGGACCAGATTACAGGTAATAGGGGAAAGGGCTTGTGAAGAGCAGGTGACTCCAAGACTAGGTGCCACGAGGTTGTAAATCTTTTCATAATGATAGGGCAATTCTTGGGAGGATGACCAACTGTATTCCGATGTTAGCTCCCATATCCCAGGGCGTACAACTCTCAGTGAGTGTAGAAAGTGCCTTCTCTAATCAGAACAGAACCATCATGGTTAACAGAGCATGATTAATATTTCTTATAATTGTAGCTGGTCCCCAATGTATTCTATTTCTGCCTCTAACATTTACATCTATAATGAGTTAGAGGTAGCAGAGAGAAAGAAAAGCATGCCCTAGTACTTGTAAGGCTCTTTTATATAATACAAAGTAGCTGTATTTAAGTGTTGTTGTTTTTTTTATTTCTTTATTGATTTCAGAGAGGAAGGAAGAGGGAGAGAGAGATAGAAACATCAATGATAAGAGGGAATCATTGATTGGCTGCCTCCTACATGCCTCCCACTGGGGATCGAGCCCACAACCCAGGCATATGCCCTTGGCTGGAATCGAACCTGGGACCCTTCAGTCCGCAGGCAGATGCTCTATCCACTGAGCCAAACCAGCTAGGGCAAAAAGAAATAAGTAACTTGCATTTTTAGCAGTCTGCAGAATTTATTAGTGTGATTGAGCCTGTCAGTTGAGAACACATCACTAATCGGAATAAAGGCAGGAAGTCACACATCTCCAAAGCAAAAGCAGGAACCTCAGTAGGTGAGGGCCAAAGCTGGCCGCACCCTGGGGAATGTGGAGGCCTGGGGCATTTGCTGTGATGAGTGATGAGGATATGGAGGAGAAGAAGCAACCCAAAACCCACCCAAGACCTACATCGTCAGTGATAAACAAGAAGTTAACTGTTAAACTGGAGCAGATGAGAGGGAATTTTGCCATTCTTAACCTTCATACGAGGGTAGAGGACTCCCTTCAGAATTTACAGCTGCCTTTGTGGTGTGAAAACCCAAATAGATAATCATTTTAAAGTAGCTGTGGATTGCTGGTGTCCATAGAACTAGCAAAAGCAAACAGATCCTCGTTGGAAGAATTCAACTGCAGTCTAGATCTTGACGTGGCTGTTTAGCCCAGGTTTCATAAACACTGATGCCTCATCACACTTAGGAGAAGGATCCTCTTATTCTCAGAAGATGCAGGCAAAGCATTAAAAATTCAACAAACGTTTTTGACAGCAATTCTTAGCAATTAGGAATAGAAGTGGTTTTTTCAACCTGTTGAAATATCAAACTTTTTGTGAAATTTCAGAATTATTCTTTTTTTAAAATGTGGCTCAAGGCTATGGAGCCTGCTGCCATGCTTTTCTTTAGTGGTGCAGCCCATGTCCAGGACAGCAGGGTAAAAGCAGAGAAACGAAAGGGCAGTTGTTTGAAGCGAAAAACCTGAAGTCTTATTTGTAGATGACATTCTATTTAGATAACCCCAGATAATCTACAGTGTAAATTAATAGAATTAATAAGAGTTTAGCAAGGTTCCTGTTTAAGACCAAATATAAATAATAATTATGAACTTATTTGTCAATAAGTTTAAGTATAATAAAGTTATTGTGCATAATATAAGGCACCTTTTAATAAGTCTATAAAAATTTAGTAAGATATTTTGGGAAAAATATAAAACTTTATTGAAAGACATTGAAGAGAGTGAAATTCAGAAAACATTAGTGATTGGGAAGATCATTGTCAGAAAGCTGTCTTTTTCCCCCAAAATTAACCCAAAATGCCGCATAATGCCAGTCAATATTTTAGTAGGTGTTTTTGTTGTTTTTTTCTCCCCCAAAGGTGTGTTTTTGTTGATTTTAGAGAGAGAGGCAGGGAGAGAGGCAGAGAAAACATTGATGTGAGAGAAAAATAGCAATTGGTTGCTTCCCGTATGCACTCTGACTGGGGGGTCAAACCCACAGCCTTTTGGTGTATGGGATGACGCTCCAATTAGCAGAGCCACCCGGCCAGGGCTAGGTCTTCTCATTGTATCTTCACATGCATAATGAGGAGAGCAGAGGGCCTTAGGGAAAGTAGGTTTATTTGCCCTACCAATGAGCAAGACTTTTGTTAAAAGCTCATCACAACATGGTGATGCTGCATGCTATGGACACATGGACTGTTGGGACAGAATGGACAGCTGAGGAACAGACACATCTGCATATACTGTAAGTATTGGTAGATGTTGGAGATGGCTTTGTAGATCAGTAAGAAAGGGGTTGAGTAAATTGATTTGGACGTAGGTTAGTCATATGGAAAAAATGAAATGGATCTTTCCTTTACCTTCTACAGAAAAATCAGTTCCATAAGTGACCTCACCAAAAAAATGTTGAGCAAAACACTAAGTTTTGGGAAAATATATACCCTATGGTATAATTAAAACTATTTAAAATATAAAAAATAATGCCATATAATTTTTCAGTTATGCAACTGAGAAAATATTATTGAGAAGAAAACATTGAAAGGATAAAGAAATACAAGAGAATGGTGAACACTGGATTTAGGATCCTATTACCAAATGTAGAGGATATAGGGACATAAGCAAAGAAGATTTTTGTTTTATAAGTTGAATGGGTATGGCTGTTTATTTAAAAAATCTGTTTGTGACTTAAATCTTTTATGATAAATTTAAAGTAAAAAATTAAATTCCGTCGTTTTCATGTTGATGTTGCCTTGGTGACTGCCTTGATTTAGCTCGGTGATTTCCATGGGAAAGTAAAAACTCCTCACTCATAGGCCAGCAAGGCATCCAAACTAATAGTGTGATCTTGGACAAATTAATTATTCCCCACTTCTCTGTTCCCTCATCTGAAAACTAGGTTCACACATGTACACTCTTAGTATAATATATGGTATAGCTCTTAATTTTACTGTAGATTCTAGAGTTTGTGTAAGTCTTTCCTTAAACTGCTATGAAGTCATTAATTTTAGTTTTAATGCAGTGCTTTCTTTTATTGCTCCTTACCTCCCTTTTTTGAAACTTTTTCAAGCCTTATGATTTGTTTTTCTGTGTACTTTTCTGCAGGTTTTCTCAGATGATGAAGTATAAATTATTTTTTAAATATATTTTTATTGATTTCAGAGAGGAAGGGAGAGAGAGCGATAGAAACATCAATGGTGAGAGAGAATCATTGATCGGCTGCCTCCTACATGCCCCCTACTGGGGGTCGAGCCCATAACCTGGGCATGTGCCCTGACTTGAAATCAAATTGTGACCTCTTGGTTCGTAGGTTTATACTCAGCCACACCGGCTGCACAGGTTATTTTTCTAATTAATTAATTAATTAATTTATTTATTTATTTATTAATTAAGCCTCACCCAAGGATATTTTTCCATTGATCTTTAGAGAGGGTGGGAGGGAGGGTGAGAGACAGAGAGAAACATCGATGTGAGATATACACATCAATTGGTTGCTTCCTGCACATGCCCCACCAGGGTGGGGGATCGAGTCCACAACTGAGGCACACACCCCTGACCACAACCCAACCCAGGACACTTCAGTCTGTGGGCCGACACTCTGTCCACTGAGCCAAACTGGGTAGGGGAGAAGTTATTTTTAACAATATAAGAAGCCAATAGGGATTCAAAATGTTTTGTGTTTTCTCCATCAGATTGCTATTCTGATTGAATTATGGACGGAGAGGCATTTTGTATCCCTTGGAAACCACAAAATGCCTGAATTTTAAAAAGTTTAACCCCTAATCATACTAGTCTGAACATCAATGATTTTGCATTTCTGAATTCATTTTTACTGTAAGGTTTCATGGTTTAATAATTGGAGTTAACAGATTGCTTTACTATGAGTGACAAATTCTTTTCATAAATGTACTTTACTTTTTAAAAAAAAATTTTTTATTTGATTTCAGAGAGGAAGGGAGAGGGAGAGATAGAAACATCAATGATGAGAGAGAATCATTGATCGGCTGCCTCCCACAAGCCCCCTGCTGGGGATCAAGCTGCAAACCTGGCATAAGCTGTGACCTGATTCCATAGGTCAGCACTCAGCCATTGAGTCATGCCAGCTGGATTACAACATTATATTATTTTTAGGTCATTGTTTTTCTAGGACCTAGGTACTCCTAAGATTTATTCTTTCTTAAAAATTATTTTTAAATTACAGTTTACATGCAATATTATTTTGTATTACTTTCAGGTGCTAATTTTATTTTAATCATTTGCAACCTAGAAATTTATGGGCATACATGCTTTAAATTAGAAGTTTAATGCTACATATCAAAACACATTTTTTCCCCAGGGTGTTGTAGTTTTTGTTGATTGCTGAATATTTTGCATTTGTTCCTTTTTTATATTGTATTTTTCTTAAGACACAGCTAATATTTTCTGATTCTGGACATTTGACAGATTTCTAGCCAATAAAAAAGAATTTAACTGAAAAATTTTTGATAAAAAAATTCTCCAATAGATATCACCTCCTCATCTGAAAATATAATATGCTAGAATAATTGAAACACGAGGTACCTGATAGGTTCATGACTCACTCTCAGGAGTTCCTAACTTTTTAAAAAAAAATTGATTTGAGAGACAGTCAGACATTGATTGTTGTTCCACTTATTGATGCATTCATTGGGTGTGTCTTGTATGTGCCCCGACCAGGGATCAAACCCACAACCTTGGTGTATCAGGACAACACTCTAACCAACTGAGCAACCCAGCCAGGGTCCTTTACGTATTTTTAGAATTTGTGTGTACAGATCATAGGCTTGTGTGTGCTCCTAGGAAAACATGTCAGGACCCCGGGTGGGGAAGACCCGCTCCCCCCGTCGGTGGCCCAGTCAGTGCCCCTCGGTCATGTGTGGGTTGTTTGCTTGTGTAGGTTGCACTGACTGAAACCTATGGAAACACTGTTTTTGCTGTATTCTCCAGGTCGAATTCGTACGAGAAGGCAAAACTCCGGGAGTACCACCAATGTCGCCTCTATACCTTCTGATAGTCGAGGCCGCAGTCGCGCTAAAGTGGTTTCACAGTCCCAGCGTAAGAAATCTATTTTATGTTCTCTGTTAACTAGGTTTTCTTCAACAGCCCATTCTCATTGACTTCAGGGGGAAAATGCTGTGAGTAATCTTGATGTTTCTTGGGTAAGCTTACAAAATGGGAGTATTCAAGTGTACTTTTATCTCCTGTCCAGGTGATTTAAATATTTTATCATTCCTCATTAAACATTAAAATGTGCTTTTTCTTCCTCTCCTCAAGTCTCTCCAGTTGAAACATGCCCCATTGTTCTATTGGTAGGCAGTCCTTCTGTCATATCTAGGAGCCGTACCTGGAGAGAGGCCGGGTAATGCGAGGTCCTCTTTCCAGTGCTCATAAGTAAATCCATTGAAAGCTCTGCCCTTTAACCTTCTGTTCTAACACCGCCACCCGCTCCTGTCTCCTGGCCAGCGTGGGCTCTTGCTTGCACGGCTGCCTGCCTCCATGCTTGCTTCTCTGTATATGTTGAGTCACTTAGTTTGTTAGCCTGACACGTGAAAGCAGCCGTAGAAGGAATGACTGCATCCCTAGGATCACCCCTGGTGTCTCAACTTTGAGTCGCCTGCTCCCTCTCTGCTTGTGGAGTGGAGCTGGGTGTCCGTCTCCTGGGCCCGGGGAGTGGAGAGGCCTTCCCCTCCCCAGGAGCTGCCCTGCTCTCTCCACACAGCACTCTGCAGTGTCTCCTCCTGTGTAGAGAGCACTGGGTCTGTGGCCAGACCCTCGGTTCTCTCCTCGTATTTAGGATGCCTTCTCAGCAGCTTCTGAATTTAGGTCCTTCTCCATATCCCTTTGATACTATGGTCCTTACGTTAAGCTAGCTTATACTTTTCTGGAAAGAAAGCACAAGGTTAGTTGTATTGCTGCCTTTGGTGAGTTGACAGAACCCAGGCTTGTCTGGCACAGAAGCCCCTTTTCCTACTCGATAACACACCACACCACACCACACACACCAACCACAGCACACACACCACACCATACCACACACACCGCACCACACACACCAACCACAGCACACACACCACACCATACCACACACACCGCACCACACACACCAACCACAGCACACACACCACACCATACCACACACACCGCACCACACACACCACACCACACCACACCACACACACCACACCACACACACCACACACATCACACCACACCACACACACCACACACACCACACACATCACACCACACACACCACACCACAGATTGTAAAGTGTAGCCCAGAAGCTTCTAGAGCCTCAGGGACAGTACCCCGGCTCTGTTATTCTGTTGAGCCCTAGTGTTGTCTGGAGCCACAAGCAGATCTCATACTCTGGTCATGGTCTCTTTCAGCTTCAATATGTTGACATTGAGTTGAATAAAAAATGTCTAACCCTTTAGCTGTGTAGCACTAGTTCCTTTCTTAGAGAGTGAGGGTTGAACGGAGTTTTACGTTTCTTCCTTTATGTCTGGCGTGTATTGGCATTGGCCTCTGCCGGGGTCCCTGCCCCTCGCTGGTCCTCTGCTTAGAGGTGGTGAGGATGAAAGTCCCTCTGGAATGGTGTTGAGGGGGATGGTTGAGCCTTAACTAGGTCTGACAAAAACACTGCACTCTCCCTGCCTTCAGGCTCCACCTTAAAAACTTCGTTTTACTCCACCCACTGCAGGAGACAACAGCAACAAGCGATCAAGCCTGGGTCTTAAACTCATAAATAGAAATTAAATATTTTTTAAAAATAATTTTGATAGGAAGAAAATATGAGCATATATATATATATATATATATATATATGTATGTATATATATATTACAAATATAGATATACTAGCATTCAGAGTCCTGGTTTAATAGTACGTAGATTTTATTAATATTAGATTTAGGGCTCTTAACAGTTCACGTATTTTAAATATTTGAAGATTTAAATATTTGAGGCTTTAATCTTAGAGGATTAATATTACATATTTGAGGATTTGGCATCAGGCACTCCGGTGAACTGTTAGTAGCTCTTTTTAATTCATTGCTGCTTATTGAGCACTCCTGGTGGTGAGCCCTGTTAGGTGGTAGTGATGCACAGATACTTCACTTCCCTCAGGTTGCTGGGAGCCAGAGAGCAGATGTACTCCCAGAAGGTCATCACTTTCTTACTCTTCTCTGCATCCCATACGTCGGGCACTGTGCCTGGCATATTGTGGGTTTGTAAGTGTTCCATGTACAGACCAGAAATAAATGCTAAATAGTGTGACATATAAAATCAACATGAGTACAAAGTAGACTAGGAGGATTAAGAACTAGAAAAAGATAGTTTGTGAACAAAGACATGTGTTTGCATGCTGACCTCTGTATTGTGTTATTGTCTTTTAATCCACTTCTTGCCTGTTCTTTGGTCTGCTCTCATAATCAAGGATCCAGATCTGCTAATCCTGCTGGTGGTAAGCCATTTCTCTTCTTGTTTGTTTGTTGTTTTGTTCATTCTCTCTCACCCATGTTCCTTGCACAATATTAATTTTTATATTATGAGCTTAAATAATCTTTCTGCATTTTTTCTGTATGTTAAAATCTAAAATTTGAAATAGGTTTTCTTTTTCCTTTTACATAGCTTAATGGTTTATGTGTATGCTCAAATTTTATGGGCAAAATTAATGGATCATGAGGTGGGTTCTTCATGGTAATGTGTACTTGTGATTTTTGCAATGAATTTCACTTTAAATTATAGTTAAATCATTATAGAGTACTAATTTTTGTGAGTATGCACCTTAATGATTCATTTGAATGGTGTGTGTGTGTGTGTGTGTGTAATTTCCAGTTAAGTGTTATTTCGAAGGTTCTACCTTTGGCTCATTGTTACTCTGGTAAATAATAATGTGCACTTTGTTTTAGAATTTTATTGCCTTCTGTACTTAAGCAGATGATCTAAGTAAATTACTGTCATTTGGGTGTATGGATAATTTTGACCCTAAGAAATGGTTATTTAGGTATCTAGTCACTTAGCCATAATAAAAATTACTAAGCATATCATTTGTTTTTATTTTATAATTTATTGCATACATCTCAGAGAATGTGATCTATATGGCTGCTACTTTTGTAGGTTTTTGAGATTTCCTTTGAGGCTTAGTATACAGTTGGTTTTTGTAGTACATGTGTAAAGGTGAAAAACGTGTATTCCGTTTGTTGAGTTACACTTGTGTCTGTGGAAAGTGTTTATACATGTCTGTATAATTTTGACTACTCTGTCAGTTTCTGCGAGTTATGTTATTTTTTTAGTGGTTATTAGTCTTTCTGAGTGGTATATTCATAATTAGGACTTTTTCCATTTCTTCCTGTATTTTTAGTTTTATGTTTTATATTTCAAAGCTATGTTATTTGGAGCATAAAGGTTCATGATTATTATATCTTCATGGACAGTTTGTTTATCAATATAATATATCCTTTGTTCTTTTTTTAATGCTGTGTTTTACTCTATTTTGTTGTTTTAGGTATGTTGTTGTTTCTTATAAACAACATACATTTGACTTTTATTTTTTTAAAGCCAACCCAAACATCTTTGTCTTTTAATAGGTGAATTTAATCTAGCCACATTTATTTTTTAAGATTTTTTAAAAATATATTTTTATTGATTTCAGAAAGGAAGAGGGAGGGAGAAAGAGATAGAAACATCAATGATGAGAGAGAATCATTGATTAGCTGCCTCCTGCTGCTGGGCCAGAGAAATTTTTAATGAGTCACGGAGGAACCAAAAGAGCTTCTGAGGAAAGAGGAATCTCATACCTATTATTGGGTGGTCATTGCCACACGATTAACCACAATTTTAGTTTTTTAAATATATATTTTTATTGATTTCAGAGAGGAAGGGAAAGGGAGAGATAGAAACATCAATGATGAGAGAGAATCATTGATAGGCTGCCGCCTGCGTGCCCCACACTGGGGATCGAGTTCGCAACCCAGGCATGTGCCCTTGACCGGAATTGAACCCGGGACCCTTCACTCCGCTCTACCCACTAAGCCAAACCAGCTAGGGCATAGCCACATTTATTATGATTACTGATATATTTGAGCTTAGTCCTAGCATCTTATTTTGTGATTTTTTTTATCATGTTTCTATTTATTTCTTCCCCTTCTCCCTTTTCTTCAAATTGTTAAATTAATAGAGTTCTCTTGAATCCATTTTCTATCACGACTGTTTAAGAAATTTTTGTTAACATTTATACTTTTCCAGCAGTTATACTTAAAAATTGTGGCATATCAACTGTCACAGAAAAAAAGAACAAAACACTAAATAAATGCCATTGAGATTATTTCTAGTAATTTTCTGTGGAACAGGGAGGCTATTTGTACTCATCCTGCTTTTTGAATCAGAAGTTTTGCAGTTATTTTTGTTGCACGGCACCAGTAACTGTCCATGTATATTCTTTTATGATACTTTAATATTCTTTCATGCTCCTAATGTTTAAAAAAAATTAGTACTAACACCAACTACAAAGCTATTTTTATATTTGATCCAAATTAATGTATAAACTGGTTTCTGAAATACTATCATTTATTCCCTGATTACATCCATTATTCAATTTTGTTTTGCTTCATTTTTAGCTGGCAGCCGGTCGAGTTCTCCAGGGAAATTGTTGGGAAGTGGTTACAGTGGCCTTGCTGGGGGTTCCTCAAGAGGCCCGCCGGTGACACTCCCTTCAGAAAAACGAAGCAAGATTCCCAGAAGTCAGGGATGTAGCCGAGAAACAAGTCCAAACCGAATAGGACTAGGTAAGGACTCTCCAAGACCCTGGAACACCATTTCCAACTTGGTCAGAATTTTTATCATAATCCAATACCTTTTCTAATGTGGCAAATAGAGCTTTGTTTTTGAATGGAGGATGCCATTTTGCCCGTGTTAAAAAGATATTTTGATTTGTGCTTTTTATAGATTATGGCATGTTCAGGTTTCAGTTATAACTGAAAAGTGTGTGGGGCTTACCATTTCAGATTGATGAGGAAGAATTGTGTCGTTGTGGGTTTTCGTTTTTTTGAGTCATTTTGCAAAATATTAGAATTGGGGGAATGGGCAGGGTTTTCTACTGTACACGTAGAAGCAATGTTGCTTTTCACTTTTCTTTCACTGATTAGCACTAAGTAGCTATTACCCTAAAATTTCAAAAGCAATTTGTAGGGTCCACATTTATTTTGATTCTGATCTTCTCTAATCTAATTGGTGAAAATAGTCAAAAATATATATACTTACTTTTGCCATAGTATTGTTCAAACATAAAATCCAGGACTAGATGGAAATGAAGTATGTAGTATTTGTTTTTGTGTTGTAGTATCAAGTTTCATTGTAATAGTGTATAGACCTTTTACCTCTATTAAAAATCTAATTATACACTGCTTTTTAATATAAAAGGTAGTAGTCTGTTGTAATATATTATGCAAAATGTATGTTCAAACTCTATGTCTTTACCTGCTTTCTAAGGGTAAAAATCTATTAATGTGAAATCAGTGCTATATTTTTTAGTCTTATGGGCTTATGTTTCTTATTCATTTATCTCCTTAACAACTTTTACTTGAATGTTTACTGTGATGTGCAATGTACTTTGTTAGACTTCAGGAATGGAAGTAAATGAAATAGATTGAACTTCTGACTTCAAATAGCTTACAGTCTTAGAGGTGAAAATGTATAGAGTATAACAAATACGATGACGTGGCCCTCTGGGATCCTTCGGCTCACTTCCCGTGACGTGGAAGTCCTCAGAATCCCATAGTACTTGCTACCACTGCACCAAGATGTCTGGCTGAGTTTCTGCTCAGTCACAGTTTTACTTGAAAGCAAGAATTGTCCTAGAAAAGGAGTGTGCCCCATTTCTTCCTTAGTTCCTGCTAGGAGAGGTTCCCCAGAGTAGAACCTACTGTGGTGAAGTATAAGGTGGGGAGATGAGGAGAAAGATGCTGTAGGGCAGAGAGGAGCATGTGCAGCAGCAGTCAGACAAGCGGGAGCATAGTGCATCCTGGGTAACACAAGTAATTCATATTTGGCTACAGTAAAGGAAGTTGGTTAGGGTGGGGTGGGAGATGAGGGCAGAGGGGCTCTTAGCATCCAGCTCATGAAAGTCCTTGAAAGCTACCTGAGCTAAGAGAAGGCAGAGGCAGATATGTAAGAAGTAGAATGCATAGGATTTGGTTTGACTAACATTTCCAAAGCAGGTGAGAAATGTAACCAAGCAGTGGTTAGTTAGTTAATTCTACATAATGTCAACATAAAGTGGCATTACATAGCATGCTGTCTGAGCTGACAAGTTATTTGGATCCAGTAATAACAAGTAATGTGGGTAAAATTAGAGAAAATAATCATGGCTGGAATATATAGATTTCAGAGTTGATAGTCTAACATGTGTATTTGGATCTGGTTTTGTTTGAAAAATGCATTTGATTTCAAATCTGGGTGTGAGGATTTAAGCTGTTTTTTTTCCATAGTTAATTAAATTCATAGGATGTTTTGGCAGTCCAGATTAGAGTCATACTTTTAAATTAGGGGTGGGGGAGATTTTACTTTCTTTATTTATTAAGGACGCCATTTTTACCTTCTTGAAATTGGAAAATAAATCAACTTTAGTCATCTAACATAACTTTAGGACCTGATTTTCCATGGTCTTAACTATGAAGTTTGTGTTATGGATAGTTGAAAAGACCACATTTAATAAGCTTTTAAAAGAGGTACTATGAAACATCATCCATCAGTAAGAACTAAATAGGAGCCCACTTCCTTCCGAAGAGTTTTTATTTAAAACATTATTTTGAAGCAGATTATTTCCTTGATGCTCCCTCCTTTGGATCATCATGGGAATCAGTTAGTTATATGTCAAGCTTTGAGGTCATACATATAATTCTGAATAAAATAGGTATTTTATTTAAATATCTGCACATTGGGAGAATAAGAACATACACACAGATATAAAGATCCATATATGAATAAAATGTATCTTCCCATTTCTGCCTGTGATAATCTTAGAGATTCCAGTTCATAGGATGTCAGATATATTAGCATTTTTTTCAGTAATAGGTTGTATATTTCTGTGATCATTTAGTATATACTGGGTATATGCCTGTGTATCTGTTTATTGCATAGCAACTTTGAATATAAATATTCAAAATAAGAGGGATCATCTTTTAAGAATATTTTATATAATTCCCAAACTAATTAGTAATTTTAATTATAGCTAAGGTAGGCTTATAATTTGCATTGAGAATTGCTTTTAGTTATCTACAAATTATGTTTGGTTCAGCTATATATTTTTTTTTTTGCTTGAAATAATATTTCTTAAGTAAATTTTCTTTTCTCATCTGTGATAAAAATGATACCCAAGCTCTTTTTCATTAGTATTTACTTAAGCAAAATAGGATGCAATTCCAGTAAAATAGCAAAGAAACCAAATAAAACCCTGATACCATGTCTTTTCTTGGCAATTTATTCCTTCATAAACTATTCAACCAAAATAGAAGAATATACTATTTGTGAATTTATTTCATTTTTGTCTTTTATTCTATTTTTGATTAATAACAAAGTCACATAAGTAGCTGACATTCATAGCAATTCTATTTTAGAAGTTTGCCTTTGTTTTTTTTCTTCCCCTGCTCATCTATTAAAAAGGCTAAAAGAAAGATTTGAATTTTTGCAGTTTACATTCTGTGGGTATATGTTTAAAATACTTTTACACTCTCTGCTTTAAAATAGTTTGAAAGAATTAAAAATTAATAATTAACTTCCAGCAGTTAAATTAGACTACTGTGAGCAAGACTAAAACATAATAATATCTAGACTAGGGAGATAGTTTATGTCTTAATTTCTGGTACTTTTCATTATTCCTCTTGTACTCCTCAAGTTCTGGTAGAATTCTTCCTTAAAAGGCAAAGGTCAGGATTACCCTTAAAACACTATAAAGGTGGAATAAAGCATCTCTCAGGAAATGAAAACCAATCAAATAGTTTCTCAAGGCTTCCCAGCAATTCGTGTGAGCACAGGACGCTGGAGCTGCCTAAGAACGCCGCTTCAGAGCGTTCAGATAGCAAGTATGTTGATCGCTTCTTCCTCTGCGGGCCTCTCCTCCCTGTGCTCCCATGGAATGTCCCCTTTGGGCACTCGATACAAAGGCAAGTTGATTTGGTGTATTGTTTTTGGTTTTTACCACCTAATTAATTAGTCCTCGTAAAAATGATTTATTTATGTACTTATTTTAAATCCTTCTTATAGATTGGTCTCTGGAGGAGGTATTATAAGTGTTTTAAATTATCCAACATTTAAACTGTTGCTGTCACCACTAGAGGTGCTTTAATGAGGTTTGGAGCAACCATATGGGAAGATTTTTACAAAATTGTAAACAGAATTCTTCTGTGTTACTACTAGCCATATGTTAAAGGAGCCAGGCAACATGGATGCGCGAAGAAACTTTCTCTTGGTGAAGTACTAGGAGGCTAAACCTTACTAAGAATTGTGCACATTGTTTCAGATCATATCTATCCCTTTATTGTCTTCACAAAGCAGGGAAAGCAGATTTCCCATTGCTGCAGCATGTATGTTAGTTTAAGGGAGGGAGTGAGAGCTGGGTAGAATTTCAGAAGTAATTGGGCAAGAACTCTAAGAAAATGCTGAGTTAAGCATGACATATGTTAAAAACTATCGGGACTGTTTCTATTACTTTTGACTATGAGTTTTGGAGTAGGCAGTGCAGCAGACAAGATGTTCATGTGTGCCTTTCCTTGGGGAGCCAGAAGTATTACCATGTGTGCCTCACCTCACAGTACCGTGCTCTTTAAATGCCAACTTTCTCCCTAGCCTTCCTAAGCGGAGCGCAGTGGCCGGGCCAGTGTGTGAGCGTGGCACTGCGAGGTCGCTGCATAAATTGGATGCGGTGTCGATCCTCTGAGCATAAGCAGTGCTTCTTTGTAGGTTCTATGCAACCTGTCATATATTGGCGGTGTCAGCGGATACTCCCTAGTTGTTGTTTTTTAAGAGTTTTAGCACCTGCTGGTTTTGCCCTCATTGTAGGTGCTATTCAGAATGTTTTCAAACATTGCTGATTACATACTGCTACTTTGAGTGGAAACTCAGTGCGCCATGTCACTGGCAAGATGAAGGAGAATTTAGGAATTACTAGAGACTTCCAGATGCAACTCTGGTTTGACTGTTGCTTAGATTGCATTCCTGTACTCGCCACTGCAGCCCTGAGCCGTTGGACACCACTCACTCAGCGTTCGGGTCTAATTGAACTCTAGCCCCGAGAAAGACCACAGTCGGAAGTTGGTTGCTTTTCTACCTTTGTAGTCTTTATCGAGGGCTTCACAGTTCTGGTTTGTAAGGTATTCTTGTTGTGGTTTGGCCATACAGTAAACATACCTTTGCTTTAAAATAAATAGGTTATGCTCATTGATGCATTGATCTGAAAACAGCCATGTTTTTACATCAGTGGATCAAGTTTATTTTTTCCAAAATTTCTAAAGAAGGCATTTCTACCCAGTCCAGAAGAATAGACCCTCGCAAGATGGAGATATTTGTTGTCCCCATCCACTGTGACATTGGTGGTTATACGCCTGCAATATGTCAGGGTGTTTCCAAATACTTTTCCAGTACTGTATTTCTGTTTTCTCAAAATAAAATGAAAAATAAGGGCATAATGATCTTTTCTGTGATTTTATAGCCAAGTTATATTAGAAACCTTATGCTATTTATGTGATTGTGTGTTCAGTGTTTTATAATGTGAGTATAATAACATTATCTGTAGATAATCATAAAGTAATTGGCCATTTTCAGGTCAGTGGAGGGATCTCATGGTGCAGAGACTGGGTTATCAGACCATCACTATTAGACTGTGTAAGGCTGGAGAGGTGAAGGTGCTTGAGTAAGGACCGCAGGCCGAGTTTTGATTCCCATAGAAAAAGCAGGAATTAATGTCGGGACCAGTAAAAAGGGACAGCAGTCCCAGCTCTCTCTCTGTTGGTTTCAATAGTGAAGTGTGTTTGAACGTCTACGCACTCACTTGAGTGCACAGGTTCTCTAGCTGTCAGTCCAGGGGCTTCCCTTTGTAAAGAAGGCCCGGCTGGGAGAGGTGGGCTGTCAATTAGTTAAGTTCATGGATGGCAGTGCCCAGGACCCTTATTCTGTTTTTCAACCTAAATTGAGAACCCAGTGCACATGGAAATGGCTTTGGTCCTTTACCCTCCAGTGGAGAAAGAAGTTTGCCAAAGCCATAAAAACGATCATTTCTAAAAGACAGAGCTTTTATTTTCTGATGCCAGTTTGCTCTTTGGATGCCATTTTTTACACTGAGGTGTTATTTTACCTTCACACCAAAATTCACAGCTTTCTGAGGCATAGAGCATAGTTGAGTTTTTGTCCAAACCTCCTGCTGTTGGCACAGCCATCAGGAGACGTAGCAGGGGTACATGCTCAGTCATCAGGACAATGTCGTGATTACGTTAATGGAATGTGACTGACATTTTGTGAGTTTTTCTGTCTTCATTAAACTTGTTCACCTTCTCTGAAACCCCTCATGCTGCACACTAGCACGGAGCAGCCGTATCCCTCGACCCAGCATGAGTCAGGGGTGCAGCCGCGATACCAGCCGTGAGAGCAGCCGAGATACAAGCCCTGCTCGGGGCTTCCCTCCACTGGGTGAGTACACGGAGGCGCTGGCTCTCGGAGCATCCTGTCCCTGCTCCAGATGCTGTCCCGGACACTGCCAGGGAATGACCTGCTTTCCCTCCTGCTGTCCTGTGGCCCTTTCTTCTTCCTTTCCTCTTCCTTAGCCACCCTTTGTTGTCCCCCTCTGCATGCTTAAGTTTGGAGCCTTTCCAGTTTTTCAGTATTAGAGGAAAAGCATCACTTCAGTCTGTGCTGTTACTTATGGCCACTTTGCCGGGCAAGCTCATCCGTGTGTTCATTTCTAACATAAGATGAAGCTTAGCCCAAGTTCATTGCTGCTTGAAAGTAGAGCTAATGCAGAGTTTATTCTTACTCATTGAATTTCTACAATTTGTGTTTAATTTTGCCAGAGATTGGGCCATACGTGGTTTAATTCCAAGAAGGAAAAAAAATATAAAAACATGATCATGTGTAGGACAGTAAATGTGCTCAGTTTCGGGATGATGACAGTAATTTAAAAAGCAGCATGAATGAAGATACTAGCCATGCTTTTGTTAACGGAGTCATTTCAAAGCTTTCATCCAAGCATTCTGAAAGTAGCTTTTTGATAAATTGCTCAGGTATATAGCTCAATGCAAAACTTCCTGATGTTTCTTGTTCATTAGATAGTTTCATGTTTCCTGGCCTCAAGAGGCGGTTTAATGTCTGTGGCCTGTTGCCGTCCCAGGACAAAAAATTACAATATTTGGTCATGAGGTGGTGTAAGCACCGTGCCCAGGTCACCCGCCAGGCCCCAGCTGGGGCTCTTCATTCCCCATCCCACCCTCAGTTTTTCTTGTATCCAGAATTTGTATTTTAACAGTTTCTAGGCTTCAGGAAAACAAGGGGAAAAATGTATCCATTATAGGATATTTTATTTACCTTTTCTTTTTAGCTTTAATAGTTCTGCCTTTCTCTAATATGGACATATAAATTACTTTTTTATGTAATGCAAATTATTAATCCCCAAAGTCGTCTGTCAACACATAAAAGAAATGTTTGTATTCTTCAGTAATTGTGTCTCAGTCCTTTGTCATGTGAAGTGCTGTACAACTGCATGTTTTCCTTTTGATAAGCCGGCAGAAATCGCTTATAACGAAGGGCCCGAGTGTTACGTGGAACTGGGGACGGCAGGGGTCTGTTATTTTCACTCGGAGTAACTGGTCTTTTAAATATAAAAATGTCAAAAGCATAAGGTCTTAGTAGTTGTTTTAGTGCCTTCTAATGTCATACACTGCTTCCCAATATCTTTTCCCCCCAGTCGGTATCAATAATCAAAGTCTAGATATATTCCTTTACGACCCCTTGTCCTTTATGAAGTTCTGAGGAAGAGCAGGTAACAGAAGCAGAAGCCCTGCTGGATGGCCCTCGCGACCTAGTGAGGTGCCTGGGAGGAATGCAGTTTGCCTGGTGCGCTCAACCCTTTCCCAGCAATCTGAGGGACAGATCAGATTTCCCAACCAGTCAAGGGCAGCAGTGGTGGGGCTTTTTCTGAGTGAACTGGTGACTTTTCCTTTTAAGTTAAGAATTTATTTCTGTATATCCTGCTCGCTATTTGACCTTCTAGAACAGCGGTCGCCAACCGGTGGTTTGAGGACCACTGGTGGTCCATGAGGTCCGAAAGGTTGGCGACCGCTATTCTAGAAAACTGGTTACATAAGTGAACAAGTCAGTCTGTTTATTGGCCACTTTGTCTCTTAGAGGCAATTCAGTCTTTTTATTCCATACACATCCTGGCATTTTTGTTCTTGTCCATGGACGCAGCCTGTGTAACATCTTGTGGTCTTTGGACCAGGCAGGTTGCGCTGCTCTCTTGAGGTCCCAGTCAAACCCCGAGGAGCTGAGTGAGCTAGTCTGTCTTCAGTTTCTTTGGCAAAGGGATCTGCTCTGTGTCTGGTGACAGCCCAGGGGGCGTAATGCATGTTGCTCCCACTGAGGCAGACGACGTGGGTGCAGCTGTTTCCCTTCCGAATGGGCTCCGGCTTCCGCATGTGTCTTCGGTGGTGGTGAGGCAGTAGTACCATCTTTTCAGATGAACTTTTATACCATGCCCGTTGCTTCCCTCCATGGGTTAAATTTGTTTATAAAACTTTTGTTACACAGGAACAACAGCGCTCACGTGTACTGGCACCATGCTGAGCCTAATCCCTCATGGTTCCTCGGATAGGTATCACCCTCTGTTATGGATGGCAAAACAGGCTCAATCAAGATAAGCCACTTTCTCAAGTCACACAGCTATGCAGTGGTCTGGGTTTGAATCCAGGTCTGATTTCAAAGCTTGGTTGTTACCCTGCCTCAGTTGAAAGCAGCACATGTTTCATTTATTCTCTGAAATGTATTAAATGCTGTCTGTGAGGCCTCTGCAGGCTTAGGCAAAGGGAAGCGCTCAGCGGGCTCTGAATCCTGATTTCCAGGCTTGGGGCTAGGACCTGGGGATTCGTAGATAAGTCCCAGGAGGTTGCTGTCCCCAGGGGAACTTACTACGCCCTTCAAAGAATGTGAAGGGTTCTTCTTTTTCTTATCCACTTAAACAATTATTTCCCACCCCCTTTATAAATAAGCGAGATTGTGTGTTAGTGCCCCTTTGTATCAACTCACATGGTCAATTTTCACTTTCCAAAAAGGGTGTGGGGTGAAGGTAATTATGTGACTGTATATTGGCTTTAAGTTTGCATTTTTATAACTAGATTGTTTGGGCCATTTTAATGGTATGAGTATGTATTTATATAGTTATAATGACAAGACTTAAGTGAAATTAAGGGCTCTAGCATTTGTAAATAAGACTTTGATGTAAATGGTTTCACCTTGGATTCCATTTTCCGGTATTTACTGAGATTGTGACAAAGGATTCATTACACGACAGATTTACTATAAAATATTTTATTGAAATAGAACCAAAGGACACTTTATAAGAAACATTTAGATCATGTATTCCTTAAAAGCTACTTTTAGTTTAAACTATTAAGTGATTCTGATCAACCTGTATAAGGAAATGATTATTTGGCTTCAGACTAAAAAAACATTTTGCCATCTTCCTTATTTGAGTAAAGGGACTATTTTGTAATATCTGTTTTAGAGATTGCTGATTTATTTTTGTGCTTCTTGAAGAATTAGGAATTCTTAAGTTTTCTTTTTGTAAGATGATAAAAATGTGTCCTCATTGACCAGGTAGGTAGCCTTTGCTGTTTAATACCACATACACAACCAATATGTGCATTTCATCAAGTGACATGGTCTTTAATGAATAAATTGTACTGGAGATGTTTTGATATTTGATGACAGTGAATGTTGACGTGTGCAGGACACTGCACCCCAGTGTGTGTGAGAAGTAACTCTGCTCAGTATTACTGTTAAACTGAGGGGCTTTCTGGGGTGCAGTCATCATGTTCTTTCCAGAGTAATGGATAGAAGCATATTACCTTGTTTGGTTTTTCTGAGGTAAAGAAAAGCCACATATTGGATGGCACTCTGGTAAAAAAATTCATGTTTGAATCAAGTCTAAATTTGATAATTAATTGTAAAAGTCATTGTCTCCACGAGGACGTAGTTTAGCATGCATTTCCTCCGATTGATGACTTAATATGCTTATTATGAATACTTGCTAATGAAACAATATTTAATGTATAGATGTGCATTGGAATTCACTCTTCACTATTACTGCCACGACCAGCACCACTACGGTGACTTTTAACCACTGTTTGTTCTGTGCCTGGCATTGTGTTTAGTGCTGTATGTATGAGCTCTTAATTCTCTTAACTCCCAAGAGGTAGGTACCGTTATCAGCACCATTTTACAGATGAGGAAACAGAGACACAGAGATGTTAAGTACTTTGCGCGAGGTCTTCCAGATCAAACCAGGATTTTGCCCCCAGTTGGATTACAGAGGCAGTGTTCATACCGTGGTACTGCAAATGCCTCTCCCAGGAAGGCCATTTAAACTTAAAACTAAATTTTCAATAATTAAAAAGTAAATTCATTAATTAGGATAGCCATGCAACAGAACAACAAATGTTTGACTGGGGAGGATGGAAGTCCAGTTGTTGAGCCCTCTTCTTGTGATTCATTCTGTTTGTGTTCAGATGACATTATAAATTCTCTTTTGTTTTTGGTGCATGGTTACATGTGCATCACATACTGATGAGACATCTTGTGGGCTGAGTGAATCCATCCTGCTGTTCGACTCGGATTCAGACGGTGCTGGTGACTCCTGATGTTCTTCATGTTGCATATTTCATAATGGCTGATAGAGGCTTCATGGAATAAAGATCCACCTGGAGTCTGAATTCGTTGATCCATAAGGAATGCCTTACAGAGGGCCTTTGAGTGCCTATGTATTTAAGAGCTGCCTGAGAGCCAGCAGCCGTGGAATTTAGGGATTGGCCCTTGCTATCCATTCATATCTAGCACTATTTCTTTTCATGAGAAAACGCGGCCCCGTGGCGGCAGTCGCTGCATTTCCTTTGGACTGTGGCGTCTGTCTCGGTACCTCTGTGTTAATCCTGTGGGTGTCACCATTCCTTTTACCTGCAGCCTCTCGACGGCATTCCAGGTCCACTAGCGCTCTCTCCACTGCTGACTCTGTCGGGCAGTCAGGTGAACAAGTGCTAACTGCATGCCTTGGCTTCTCCATCTCTCCTAGTTCCGCACTCATTTTACATTCGTTTTCATCAGTGTTGGCTAGCACTTGGCATGTATGCACTTCATCCCCCTCACCCCCCAATGTGCTTGAATTTTTTTAAGTTGTTGAATGTTTATGGTTCTGTTAATAGGCTGTAGATGCTTTGTAGCTTGTTTGACAACATTATTTCTCCAGTGTTCGTATTTATGTTAAAACGAAGCAAAGCAAAGGGGGGGGGGGGGCACTTCTCACCCTCTTTTGCTCCCTCCCCCAGGAAAGCACCCAAACTTTAGGTATCAGAAGGGTCCTGTGGGGAGTGGAGTATGAATATTATCCAACAGAGTCTTTCATCTCCCAAGTCTTTACTCCCAATAAAGTGATAATTATTAATGTCAGTTAGTGTCAAGTTCTAATTTGGAGGTACTATTTAGTTACCAAAGTAGGTCATATGTAAAATTATAGGTATAAAAATAAATGGAATGTCCTAACACTTTTATGGAAAAAGAAGATCATGATTCAGATAACATAGTCAGGCCAGTGGTAGCTTTTGCAGCCTTTGGTCCCCAAGCTTTTTCCATCTCGGCCCCTTTTTGACAATACCCAAAATTCACTGGTTAGCCATTGGGGCAAACGTAAGCATACAATAATATATATATATCAGTTTGCCAGATTTAATTGGCATCATTTTCAGATACTAGAAACCCTAATGACTACAGTATTGAGTAAGACACAATCTTATTAAGTCACAAGTGATAACTGTGACCAATTCACTGATTTAGATATTTTCTTTGTTCCTCCTCTAAATGAAACCAGGTATGCATTTTTAAAATATATGCTCTCCCATTCCCCTGAAGGTTATGGGCCAGACTGGGTACAGTCATCTGTATCCATCGCTTAGAAATGGAGCTTTATAATAGTATCAGAGCAGCGAGAATGCAGAACAGAGTTTTCTCTGGTTGAAATAAAAGGCTTACAATTCTGCTTAGATCCAAACATTTCCTCTTAAGACTTGGAATTCAATGATCTCTGATACATATAGAATGAGCTGCAGACACTGTGTGACAAAGCGGTGTGCATTTGGGAAGCAAGATTAATTAATTGCATTGTTCTTTTAGTTTTAATTTTGTGTCTGAAAAATCAGTATTATCCCTTGAGCAAGAACTGCTGGCATGAGATCTAATTCCTTATTTTATTTTATGTAGACTTCGTTTTTAAGTTCATGCTGGTAATTTTTAAATGGCTTTTAACTGAATTACTTTCATTCTGTTATTCATAAATCCCTTACTATCTACCCTTTTTTAATGGGGGAAAAATGAACAAAGATCATTTATGAAACTGTGCAAAATAAATCTCAAATTTATACTCGTTTCATATTTCAACTGGTAATTTATATCTATATAAGTATGTAGATGTAATTGTTTTGTGGTTTCTCTATAGTTTATATGGCACATTAAATTGCCTTAAGTGACTAAGTTGACATTCAATATGATCAGCAAGTGCATTAAAAAAGGGGATAGTATAACATACAATTTTTGTTTCTTTATAAAAATTCATGACTGTATAACTTTTTTGATTAGCACTGTTTACATTTTTTTTCTTTCTGTGGCGATGGAAGATGTAATGTTTTGAAACTGGCATTTTAAAAGCGTTAAATAACACTTCACTTTTAAAGTTCACCGGCTTTGTAGGTGATGTTTGTTATATATCTAAAATCTTATTTGTAAGATTTTATATACTACTTTATAGGAAAGATCAATTTATTTAAAACAAATACTAGTTTTCCTTTTATTGTAAATGCTTTATATGGCTAGTAACAGATTTTCCTTGTCCAGTATATGTTAATAAAAAGAAAGCATTTTTTATCTTAACATTTCTTCCAAAGCTTTTTAAAAAATATATCTTAGCATTTTAAATAAGAAACTAGTGTGATATACCTGTGAAGTATAATTTACATGGACCTTCTATTATAGTTTAAATCTCAGTACTTCTTAAGGAAGGCTGGTCAAATGTAATGTAAAGGACTTTAAAAAGCTAGTTTTCATTGTCCATGATCATTAGCAAGCTTAGAATAGTTGTTTGAACTGTAAAATTTGTTTTAAATCTTTTGGATTCTATCCATTTTGTCCACATGTATAAAGACTATCATTTAAAAACCCTTCAGGGACTCAGGAAAAATGTATACAATATTATCTTAATTATTAATATTTTGCAGTTGTAATGCTAGCTTTTGTGGTGATTATTAAAGAATTTTAATACATTTATTTAAATAACCTTTGGTGATACAGGAATTATGATGAACATATGCTTAAAATTAATTGAGTTTAATTAATAATAGTTAAATAGTATTGACACTGATGAAAATTTGCACAGTGATCAACTGAATACATTTGTTTTAAATTTTGACTATTGCACATTGCATTAGAACTCATTTATCTGCAGCCACAGTAACCTTGAAGCGTCCTAATTAGTTTGACCAAACCTCAGGGCCACTTGACTCTAGAGCAGCCTGTGCGTCGAGACCCCTTTGGGGGTCGAATGACCCTTTCACAGGGGTCGCCTAAGATCATCGGAAAACACATATATAATTACATATTGTTTTTGTGATTAATCACTATGCTTTAATTATGTTCAATTTGTAACAATGAAATTGGGGGTCACCACAACATGAGGAACTGTATTAAAGGGTCGCGGCATTAGGAAGGTTGAGAACCACTGCTCTAGAGCAAGCATGTCAAAGTCAAAGGCTAACACGGGCCAAATAAACAAGGTTTAAGTTTATGTGGGCCTCAAAAAAATAAAAACTTCAGTTTTCATAGAAACGTAAGTTTATTTCGATAGAGACATGCTGAATACAAAGGGCTGAAATAAATGAGTAATGGTTAATATGAAATAATAGAACATTTTAATAAAAATTAATACTTTTTCTTGAACATTAACTTACCAGACACTGAATAACTGCACAAATTAATAAGCGTAACACAAATAAACCTATTTTTTTTTTGTTCTCCGAAAATGAAATATTTCCTGTTGTGCACACGAAATAAGTCAGTCCAAGACTAATGAGTCGGCTGCTAAAATATTTGCTGCTGGTATTAGTGGAGATAAATGGTGTGCCTGTGCATAAGGCACGGAAGGGAAATGAAAGCAACACGATTATAGTAATCAGTCATTAGCGAACATTATACTTCGTTATTAATAATTATGTATTACAGGATATTGTAAAATTTAAGTTACAAAATTTTTATTAAAACGTTTCTTACATATGTTTATATTGGCTGGGCCACAAAAATATTTGTTGTGGGCCGCGAGTTTGACATGCTTGCTCTAGAGCAGTGGTTCTCAACCTTCCTAATGCCACGACCCTTTAATACAGTTCCTCATGTTGTGGTGACCCCCAACCATAAAATTATTTTCGTTGCTACTTCATAACTGTAATGTTGCTACTGTTATGAATCGTAATGTAAATATCTGATATGCAGGATGTATTTTCATTGTTACAAATTGAACATAATTAAAGCATAGTGATGAATCACAAAAACAATATGTAATTATATATGTGTTTTCCGATGGTCTTAGGCGACCCCTGTGAAAGGGTCGTTGGACCCCCAAAGGGGTCGCGACCCACAGGTTGAGAACAGCTGCTCTAGAGGGAATGCTAAACAGATTGAGAGACTCAACCCATAGCTCTGCTCCCTTCTATATAATAAGTTGCTCTCTCCTATATCTCAGCACTTTTCAAAAATAAAATATCATTAAAGAACCATTTCAATTGTCAGGATGCTTTGTGGCACGATGGTACTAACTGCGAACAGTCTACCCTCTGTCACTGGGAAATAAGTGTAGCTAAAACTCCAAGTCCAATGTATTTAAATGGGCTGGGCAGTTCCCAGAGCCTCTGTTCTGTAGGTGAGAAGAGGGAGGGATGCTTGCAAAGAAATTGAGAAAATGTGAATTAAAGTGACATATCTTTTGCTTTTGTTTTTTAAATAGACCGGTTTGGGCTTGGCCAGGCAGGAAGAATACCGGGTTCTGTGAATGCCATGCGCGTGTTAAGCACAAGCACAGATCTTGAAGCTGCTGTTGCTGACGCTTTGGTAAGAGTCACAGTGCCTGTCCGTCTCTTTGACTACTCATCCGAATTATTCTGTCTTAACAGAAAAGTGCCTCCAAATCAGGTTACCTTGACACTCTTTAAGTTGGGTAAATTTATATTACTGGTTTAAGTGAAAGGTGGCCTTACAGAAATTATTAGCATCAAGTATTTCTTCTGTGCTCCTCAGTATCGAGGAAGTTATGATGACATTGGGCTTCTCTGATGTCATTGGGTGTCTTTTTTCTTTTTTCTTTTTTTCAGCATCTTTTCCCCATTCTATTGCTTCTATTGCTTTACAAGCTTTGATGGCATAACCTAAAAAAAATTATTATACTAGGTCATAGAGTTTGTGGTTTGAAAATCTGCATTTATTCCATTGCCTCACTAGTTGTTCCATATCACTTTGCTTTTTTGTTTGTTTGTTCTTAAAAATGAGTTTGTAAGTCATTATATATGGAAACTTCCCCCAAGTTTAAGATGAGCCCTTTGAGGCTATCAAGCACGGGTGGAGTATGTTTTTGCATCCTTATAATGTAATATCTAAAAAACAATAGGAAGTGCTGAGAGGCCCTTACATTCATGGTTATAGCAAAAAGGTCCTTAATAGAGTCTGCTAGTGGTCAAGGTGCTTTCTAAAGATCCATTTCAGCGAGTAGGGGCACAGCCGCGGGGGTATTTTGTTTGGTGCGCTCAGCATTAAACTAGGCTCTCTTTAGAACTGTCTGACCTCTGGCTGTGCCTTTGCTGTTGGAAGATTTATTCTCCTCTAAGGAAGCATCCACCTTTCAGACCCTGAAGTTTTAATTCAGCCATGTTTTGTGTGATCAAAATGTATGGTTTGTGGCTACAAGTGATTCTGACTTTCTTCTCTCTCTCTCTCTCTCTCTCTCTCTCTCTCTCTCTCTCTCTCTCTCTCTCTCTCTCTCGTTTGTTCTTGCTCAGATTTTTTGGCAAGTGGCTGTGAGCAGGCAGCTTGCTGCTCTCATAATGCTTTCCTTTCTGCAGGGCTGCCTGGCCAGCTCCTGCATGAGGTGCTCTGCAGGTGGGCCTTTTCTGGCACATGCAGGAATTGAGGGAGATTGCTCTATCCGGGGCTTTAACTTAAGAGTCAGGAGCTGGAACAGAATTCTGTGACGCTGTTTTTCCTTCCAAGTTGCAATGTTTAGATTCTGTTTCTTTTTTATTCAGAGACCCTAGGCAGTGGAGGTCAGAGGTTGGGAAAAGATAGATGTGCCAAATCCTTAGTTAAATGGGACTTCCAGTTAAGGCGGGGGTTTCTTAGTTCTCTGAAGAACTACGGAGGGACTGCACAAAGTTCTAGGAGGCAGAGCAGGCCTGGAGAGTCTGAATCTCGGCTCTCTTTGACTTGGGCTTTTCTCTGAGCTCTAGCTCCATTAACACTCACGTTGCCCTCATTAATTTTGTTTGAACTGCTTGGTTTCTCCGGTGGTCCTGCTTCGGAAGAGAAAGCGCAAAATGGTCCACGATTCTTGCCTCACAGGATAGAAGCTCGGGGCAGACAGAATGTACCACAGCGACAGACCACAGAATTAATGATGACTTAGGAGATGTCCCTCGGTGTGGGAGAGCTTTAGCAGAGAATTACAGCAAGCACAGGAAGGTCTTGTAAGAAGGCTAGAAGGGTTAGGAAATGCCATTGTGAAAGCATTCTTTATTATTACTCACTTGATCTCACGTGATATGAATCGCTTGCTACTCTGTATTTTTGGTTTGCTAAGATATGTTTTGCTGTACACTTTTGTTGCAAGAATGATCCCCACATATGCTTCTGACATAATTCTCTATGCTTTTTCCCCATCCTTCAATATTTTCCTGCCTACAGCTGTTAGGAGACTCCAGGAGCAAGGTACCAGTGCTTTAACATTTGTTTTACAACTCCATTTTTTCTGTTGCAAGTATATTTCCTTTAGGAGCTAGTGAAAGCAACAAAAACAGTAGTGCAATATAGAAATTCTGGTCTGAATTATGATATTGTTGAATCTGGTGACACTTTTATTAATGGTGGAGTCAGGCAACTCTATTTGTTCTAGTATTTATTTTTAATGTAAAGCTGTGCCTTCTCCCAATAGCGTTTAATTTCATTTTTAAACCCCAGTTATAACTACTCTTATGTCGTTATTTCATGATTAGATATATTCAATATTTTTCTTATTTGAGGGATCTAGTGTCTGGATAAGTAAGGTGGCCATACTTTTGAGAGTGAAAGGGGCTTACTAATGAGGCATAGAGCAGCACTGTCCTGAGCAATTTGGGATGTACTAAAAACCACCTTATTAGGAAATTACATCTGTACAGTTTAAGCAAATAACTGTGTTTTTCTCTTAAATTGTATTTTATAAATTTTATCAATTTTATTTAGCTGTTGCTGTATTATTTATGGGTTTAACTTGTATTCAGGGTAAGAGAAATGCTAATCTACAGGAAGCCCGTTTGTGCTGTAAAACTTTGTCCTTAATAAAAGTGGCTCAGATAATTTAGGAATCCTTGTACATAGATTACTCTGCCCCTGTCATTTCCATTTGAGACTTTAAGGAAGTATGAGTATTCAAACAAATTTACTCATAGACCATGCTCAAGATATATTACTTTTGGTTGGGAAGAGGCTGTGGGTGCACAGCTTGCATTGTGTCAGGTGGCTAAGCCAGGTTATTTAACATACAATTCCATTTATTTATTTGTTATTTTTTAATGTTTTTATTTCACAGAGAGGAAGGGAGAGGGAGAAAGAGAGATAGAAATATCAATGATGAGTGAGAATCATTGATCGGCTGCCTCCTGCACTGGGGATCTAGCCTGCAACCTGGGCATGTGCCCTGACCGGGAATCGAACCTCCTGGTTCATGGGTCGATGCTCAATCCTTGAGCCACACCAGCCAGGCAACATTTAATCCTTAGAAGAAGCCTGTAAGGGGGGTAATTATTATCTCAAAGATGGGGAAACTAAAGCAGAAAGGGCCGGAGGCTTTCTGCAGTCACACAGCCAGCCAGTGGTGGCAGCAGGATTATAACCCAAGAAGCCCATACAGTGTGCTAGAGACCATGCTCTTTTTCTCTGCTACAGGTGCTCTGCTTATAACTCTCTATGTCTTCCAGAAATCTGCCTTCCTGTTTTCACTCCCTAATCTGTAAACACAGGCAGGTGTGGTGCCCCGCATCTGCGTGTGCATCTTTTGACATGCAACTCTTGGTTGGTGGTGGATTTGTTTGGGATGACTCACGGTCATTTCATCTTTCCACTTCTTTCTCCATCACCCCCATCCCTCTTCGGACCTGGCAGAAGAAGCCTGTGAGGAGGAGATATGAGCCCTATGGGATGTATTCTGACGACGATGCCAACAGTGATGCCTCGAGTGTTTGCTCTGAGCGCTCGTATGGTTCCAGGAACGGCGGCATTCCCCATTACCTGCGGCAGACCGAGGATGTGGCAGAAGTTCTCAACCACTGCGCCAGCTCAAACTGGTCAGAGAGGAAAGAAGGGCTTCTGGGCCTGCAGAACTTACTGAAGAGCCAGAGAACACTGAGGTGAGGGCAGTGGCTCGGTGAGCTGCTTCGAGTCCATACTGTCCACATCAGGGGTGTGGTGGGGTTCTGACGTTTGTGGAGCCCCTACAGAGTTCCAGCACCAAAGGTGCTGAGGTGACCGAGACCTAGTCTTTGCCTTCCAGAGATTTTGAAATATCTGGCAAGTTCTCTGTAGTTTATTAGATTTATAAAAACATCTGGTTCCCTGATGGCTCACATTTGGCTGGTAGCTATTATTTGAGAAATCGTGGTGCAGGTTGCAATTTAGGTGAAAAACAAAACTGGGAACTGTCACTCATAGTTGATAGGGAAAGAAAATGGCACAGCTGCTTTGGAAAAAGAAAAGAAAAGAAAACTCTGCAGGTTGGTGTGGTTCATTACACTTTAGGGTTGTGGGTAAGATGATAGCAGTCTCAGTCTAAAAAATTTTAATACACATGCATATATGTAGCTTATAAATACTAAACTGATCCTGAATTGATTTACTAAATTGGACTACTAATAGTAACAGTATTTAATATTTTCGCTTTTTTCTTTATGTTCCTGTATTTCATAAATTTTCTAACATGAGCAGGTATTACACACATACCAAAAAAGTATGTTTTTATACCATATTTTACCAAATCTAAGGCACCATAGACAAACCATCTACACTAATAAAAGAGAAACATGCAAATTAGAGTTGCAGCTGAGAGGCCGGCAATTCAGGCGGGGAACGTTGGAGTTCGCCATCACTGGAGCAAGCAAGCCTCCCTGTTCGCTTCAGTGCATGGCTGCCGGCCGCCATCTTGGCTGACAGTTAATTTGCATAAGGATATGCTGATTAGCCAATGGGAAGGGTAGCGGTCGTACGCTAATTACCATGTTTCTCTTTTATTAGTGTAGACTAGATGCCTGGTGCACGGATTTGTGCACTGGTGGCGTCACTCAGCCTGGCCTGCACCCTCTTTCAATCTGGAACCCCTCAGGGGATGTCGATAGCTGGTTTCAGCCTGATCCCTGCAGGCCTGATGTAGACAGGAGGGAGCCCAATCCCCGCAGGCCCGATCCCCACAGGCCTGATCCCTGCAGGCCTGATCCCGATGCCTGCAGGCCCCATCCCGATGCCTGCAGGTCCCATCCCGATCCCCACAGGCCCGAACCCGATCCCCGCAGGCCTGATCCAGACAGGAGGGAGCCCGATCCTGTGTGTTGAGCGTCTGTCCCCTGGTGGTCAGTGTGCATCATAGCAACCAGTCGCTTAGGCTTTTA